AATAACCTTCGGTCTCTTTGATATACAATACATTCGTCAAGAATTAACTTGCATAACGTTGTAGTGACATCATACTAAAAGGACCAATCGGTGTTCAATGCTCTCACTCCCGCATTAAATTCTGAGATTGTCTACAGATTTGAAGAACAGCGCGCCGATGTTCGATGTGCGTCCTCTCATCGCAATCCGTGTAAAATATAAAGTGATAAATTTGAAATAAGTAGGGGTCTTTTCACGTACACATCCACACATACATTAATCCACAACTTTTTGTTCAAATTTGTTTTCAATATTATAATAGCGGTATATGTATTTTCCATGCCACGTTTTGAAGAGCTGGAATATATATGCTAAAGAGTCTCCTGATATTGCAAGGGATGCTTTCAAATGTATGAGTATTATCGGGTAAACCCAGAACTGGTCCGTACTATAATATAATGAGTAAAGCTTGTCCTCCCATTCTGTAAGAAAATTTAAATTACTGCATGTGCTGATAGTCTTACTTCATCGCTAACACAACATGACAATAATTCGTTAATAATCGGTTAATGATAAAGCGATGTCGCTTTCAACATACGTCGGCGATTCTACTGATACTGTTAATATTGCAGAAAGGTTGGGTGAGCATTTTAATGATCTTTTCACTTCTATAAAAAAAACCATTCACTACAAAAAGAAGATGACAAGATGCTTTCGAAAAATGTATGCATCTGGAGTGAACATTGCATTTGGTAAATTACCTTTGGGTAAATCTCCTGGACCTCACGACGTGTCCGATGAATTTTTTAAATATGCTAATGAACGCCTTTGTTTTTGGTTGGTCTTACAGCATCATGTAATTTTACGAATACTATTCTTATTCCAATCGTTTTGAACAAGTCATCTGAAGATGACACAGCCCCACTTGTCAGATGTGATTATAGTTGGCTATGAGTTATAAAATTTGAATGTATATGTATAAAATCGGGTAGGAAGATTAAGTTGAAAATCAAAAGTATGTTACTCGAAGTTAACAGCTAGGACATCTCTATTAAATTTAGTAAAATTTGCATGAATTTTAACAAAAATTCTCAATCAATTGAATATAGAAATTCAATTGAGTCAATATTAAATAGCAAATACATGAACTATTAATTCACAAGATATTAACAATAATTCAAAATTAATTAAATATGCAAATGAGCTTGTTGATTAAGTTGAAGCCCAATATTGCATAGCACATATCGTATATTGACAAATCAAGTAAGTCTATACCAACTTTGGTCCGATTTGGACTATTAGTGCACAAGATATCAACAAGAATTCAAATTAATAATTAAATATGCAAATGAGATCATTAATTGATTCCTTGAAAAAAGAAATCAATGTGCATCTGTACCAGTGGTCACTCTGTCTTTGTACCAAGTCTCAGCAAAATCGGTCCAAGCATCTTCGAGAAATGATGATGGACACACCCAAAAAACAAGATTTTACAGGATTTTGACATTCAAAATGGCCGCCAGGCAGCCATATTTGATCAAATCAGGAAATAAATCCATGTGAATATGTATACCTCCTCACTTTGTCTTTGTACCTAGTATCATTGAAATCAGTCAAGGCATCTCTGAGAAATATCAATGGACAGACACAAGCCATGATTAACAATCCAAATGGCTGCTAATCGACCATATCTGATCATTTCTGTCTCAACAAAATCGGTCAAGCCATCTCTGAAAAATGACGATGGACACACAAGCACCGAATTTGGCTCAATTTTGGCATCAAAATGGCCACCAGTCGGCCACATTTTATCGAATCATATGCACATGTATGGTTGACCACTATGTCTTTGTGCCAAGTTTCAAAAAAATCGGTCGAGCCATCTGCGAGAAATCACTCCAGACGGACTGACGAAGGCGAAAATACAAGCCCCCTCCCGGACTTTGTAATAAGACAGGTGAGCTGACCAGTAAGGATAACTATAGACTGATCTATATTAACAACCAGCTTTGATACCCCATTGAAACATGACAACGCTCGTGAAAGAAAAGAATGCTTGCGAATATTATTTCTAAAAGATGGGATACGAAAAAGAAAAATATATCTAAAAGTACGCTGTAAAATTCATAGTCTACATTGGCATGTATACACTTGTGCAGAGAACAAAAATCAGCAACCTTTCTACGTGTGGATAATGGTGGTTTGAATAACGTACATAATTCCAAATAACAATCTGAAAAATACTTTAAATTACATTTGTAACACAATAAACGAATACATTTTTTCTGCACAAGTCTGAGTGCATGTGATTTTTGCCGTGTAGAGGTTCTCTTAAAATTGCTAATTTTCCACTGAGTGTAGTCACTTCTCATACTTGCTTGGGTTGTATTTTAGCTGATTTTTTCTATGACGTCCTTGATATTAAGCGTCAAACAAAATGTTTTTATATGAGAGCAAATACCTGACTTAGAAAATGTGTTATTCAGTCGTTAATCGTCTCTATACAAATCAGAACTCTGTTATTAGTAATTCAATGTGCTCCGACATGTATGTTATTTCTAAGATTAGTCTTTTATACAGAAAATTATTATTTAAAAAAAATAGGTTTGTTTGTAATATTCTACGCTGTGCACTGTTATGGGATTTGTTGTTTGCTTTTTATCCTGAAATAAAGTACATAATAATAAACATTAACTGACTCGTCGACCTATTCCCAGTTATTTCAGTTTTACTAGGGAGAAATTTTGCTTGCCATTCATACCAAGAATTTCTGTGATGAGAAAAATGTTCACCGAATTTAAAATATGTAATCGAATTTATTCCGTGACATTTGTCTAGTCACACCTCACTCTCGTCATAGTTAGAATGTGCTTGTAAGAATAAACAAACAGTCGAACTCTTTGTAAAAATGGAGATCTAAAAGTAGAATTGTGTGCATATGCCCCCCCCCCCGATGCAAGCTACTAAAGGGGTTTGATCAAATTTCGCTTTCAGGAAGCATCATGTTTTGATGTTTTATCAGCTCACATATTTGTTCCAAGATGAATTTTAATATGTTTGGTTTTAAGTATGAAATGTAAAATAATAATTTCTATGTTAGAAATTATCCTGTAGAAACAACCGGACACCAAAATAGAGGACAGTTTTGGCTCATATCTCCCCCAACTCGTGACCGCACACTCAACATTGAAACATCGTCATATCAGGTTTGTGCAATGAGATTTAATCTCACCAGTGGTATTTGAAAGCAGTAAAATAAAATTATCTCATCGGTGGTGGAATAATAATACATGTGACTCTGTACAAATAACAGAACATGGGGAGGGGAATGAGAATATAAACAGTCAATAATATTATTTCCATAAGAATGGCCAATACGCTGGTCAATTTACATCGCACTCACGTCACGAGTTCTAATGTGCTTTTATATCTTTTTATGTTTAGGTGATAAATATCCACCTTACGAAAAATCAATGCTCACCTCGTCCACTGCACCAACAATCAGAAATAGACAACTATACGCGTATTCAGAATTACGACAAATGTCATGAAATGTCATAATCGGAAATCGAATTTCAATCTGACTGGCGCGTCATTCCTCGAAGGGTGATCGATACAGTTACAGAAAAACATTGCGAATTTTCGCATTTTTGGTACACTGGGATTAGTTAATTATAATCTATTAGCAATAATAAAAAAACTAGGGCCACCGACCTCATTTGAGAAATTCGTATGTTTAAAGTTAATACACAGGATCTATACGGAAAACAGTATAATATGACTCTTATATATATATTTACAAAAAACATTATAATGGCGGAGCATGTAGAGAACAATATTTTCTACATATAAAAAATTGGATCACCGACTTTTTTAAAATTGTCACACTAATACATTTGTGATAGAACATTTTCCCATGTGAAAACGCTTCCGCACTTTGAACAGCGAATGTAGCGACTATATTCTTGAGTATATTTGTACATTTCTTAAAATCATTGAGATTTGGATTCGTCTTACACAGAGATTTATGTAGTTATACACGATACATATAATCAGAAAAAAGAAAGAAAAATACCTCATAATAAAACATTTTTGAGATATAATTATGCTAACCCTCGCACGAGCCTACATTCGAACTAGCGAAGATCGATTATGCGCCCTATCGTACACACATCGCAAAAGTGAAATTGTATCGAACCTCCCTAAATACTAAGATAACGATCTCCGTAAAAAACATTATCATGTTTGCGTAATCGTTAATGTACTTTACCGTGTTCAATCAAACATTATGTAAATTAATTGCACATATTGTATAAACAAATCAACAGGGTTTTGTCGTAATGATTACCAGATAAAATCAAAGTGTAAAGCAAATCCTCTCGCCTCTTGTCCCATAACAATTTTGTTTTCAGAAACTCAATTTGAAAATATAAAGCACGGGTTACGGTTGTTGTGCAGTTATTTTTAAGAAACATAATACTGCAATATAGACAATTCAACATTCTGACACTGGCGAAACCGACGTAACCACAGAGCATCGCTCATATTGTGCAAACGACGTGCCTTGCCGAGAGGCAGATCATGACGGAAATTTAGTTACATTGACTACTAAATGAATATAATGTCGGGGGAAAGGTTTTATCCGCAAATAAATAAAGCAATGTTAGCTTATATAGATTAATTGTGTTTGTACTCGTACACATCGTTATATTGTCCCGTTATCATTCAAAGAATTAAGCTTTGTTGTCAGGCGATGTGAGAGCCGACATACCGCGTCTGGTGGAGAAGACACAAAAAAAGCTGAAGGCGGGGAATATAACCAGCCAGGACTTCATAGGGAACGTACCTTGTATAGAGCAATGCGTCACAGGAAAGCTGCTGGACGGGAAGTAGAGTCTTGTACAATGTCAGTACTCGATATTACGTTGAACACACCTTGTGCTCTGTTGCTTCGATGCTGTTGTAATACAGTATGCGTGTCGGAGTAGTATAAGTCTCACTATGCAGACGACTACTTTAAAAAGCAGTATCTGTTTAGCATTTAACAGTGCCATCTCCATAGTTACCATGGAAACGCATCATTGCTGTCGCAAAATACACAATTCCAATGTCCTCCCACTAGCAACATGGTTGTTTACGCAGCGAGAAATCACAGTGACGTACGTTACTTTAAATGTTGCTTCCCCGTCCAAGGGCAAAAAACACAGACGGTGGTGATTTACACCGAAGGGTATGAATGATGTGACGCTCGAAACTTTACATTATATATATATTTCAATTACATAACGGTTTCCACAGTAACTGTCAGATGTTGATATATTCCGATAGTTCATCTGCCAGATGTGGGAATGTTTTACCTATCTTTGATGCATGGTGAAATAAGATTTAAAAAAAAATGTTTTTTGAAGAGTACAAACGTATGTATATGACAAAAAATCAAATAAAATGTTTTAGCACAATCACCCAAAAATGTATATATATTTATAATATAATTTGGTTTAATGTTTATGGCTAGGTGTTATAGCAACTCAATCCGGATTGCTATTATAACGTATTACATTATTATTTCTACTTTGTAAACAACTAACGGTAACACAAAAGAATCATCATCATATTGACATCTAGAATTTGTTAATCATATATCAATTTTGATATTTATCATATACCTTACAGTTCTAATCAAAACACATTCAAGTTCATGGAAGATGTATCAATAGTGAATCACTAATGTTTAGTTGAACATTACACAAACATTAACCCCGATGAAAAAATCTGGTAATACTAATTTGTTTCTCTGATTTCATATCACCGTTACCCTACTCCTTTAGACCGAGTGAAATCGACGACGTTATCAAATGAAATGACCTTATACATAAATATCACAGGTAATTGGTTTTAAGGAGTTGCAACATAGATGGATATTAGTCGATTCGCGTAGTTGACCTTCACGACTATTTGAGTCGTATCTATACTCCATTGGTCTAAGTGTCAACACAATAATAGCGTATATCAGATTTCTAAAAAACTTCAATTATCGTTGCTCCGATGTCTCCGGAAAAAATCTAATTAATCTTTAGTGTTTATACCGAGTCGACGAGAGTTTCAAAACTTGTTCTTAACGAACCCTTTATACTGTGTGAATACATAGATGCAGATGTACCGAGCATTCAAACTTCCGTCGGAGATGAACACACTTTCATTTATACGGCCACAGTGTACATCAGGTGTCATCATGATTTTCATATCCGACTTATCGATCACCGTGATGGTGTTTTGAAATTGCGGATGCCTGCATGGGTAGCGAACGAAACACCTGAGTCTCAGAATAGAAAGTGTCCAATTGTCCTAATTATAAATTCCAATCACTCGATGAATACAACACGGCGAAGGATTCAACTGCATCAACTGCGTGGACCTAACATTTGAACATATGCATGTTACAGTATGTAGTTTTGAGCGTTGGGTGTTGCGTTCACTGTCAAGACGTGGACTGATAAGTATTACTTTAGACATTGTCCTGCGCTTGTATTACGTACGTTTCAAGACGGTGGGAACTAATTAAACCTCAACGTTACCTTCACAAAATCACAAAAATTGCAATTTCTCTAAAACAAAATTCATTTCGAATTATCGTCTGTAGTGTTCTACATTTCATATATTCAAGTGTTTCGAAGTGAGCGGGGATAAGAAAATAAAACATTTAACCAGTGGGAATATGCATGAAATAAAACACGCAACAATTGTTCAACTGTTTTTCTAAGCCAAGTACACGTTGACATGGCGACGTCTTCTCTATTTGTGGAATGAATCTTCCATTGACCGATAAGGCTTCGTGGTGGCATGCAATTACTCACTGACGTTACGCTGACTGAAGCATATACAGCGGTATAGCCTTCACGCCCACCATTCAGAAACGATACCAACTCTCAGTTTATTAAACTACAATCAAAAAGTATACTTTTTTCAAACTATGATATCTTATGTCATGTTTCGCTTTTCTGTAATGCATGATATAGTGGAATGATGTATCTCTGTTTGTCAGACAGAATGTCGCTCGATGTCCTTCTTATGTGGTACATATCTTCCACAGTACCAAACATTGCAAACTTCATTAGACCTACCACGGCTGCTGAAGTTCTTATGAAAAACATTCCTACCATTGACGAGGAATGCGCGTCATCACCTAGCTTCATCACGAAGCTTTCTCTTACCTGTAGTAATTGATTGAAGTGCGTCTTTCTTGTTGATGCAGGCATAAACATGCAATCACTCCTAAAGATATAATACGAACGTTTTTTTTTTTGCTATTATTGTTTGATACTCAATGTTGATGACTAAACTGAATTGCAAATTATCGTAAAAAAAAGTTGATTTTGAGCACATTTGTTCTAGGCAGAATGAATTCTACTAATACACACGTGCAGTGATTGTTAGAGAATATCACAACATTATTAACAATACATTTTCTCATTCGTAATGCATCTGTAAAGCACTTTTACGTAATTCATCGTCTATATACATTGCACATTAATATTTGTTGTAAACACCTCAAACCTTCACACATGGGTTTAGGTTTTGACACAGGCCGTCAAATTGGTGTTTTACGTATCTCTTACGTAACATGATCCATTACTCCAAATCAGATAACTTATATTCTTCAAATCAGATATAGAGAAGATGATTTATTATCTTATCAGTTTTCTAAAATCTGCCAAGTGCATTGATAATCTACTTTATAACAAATACATCTTCAGTTTTCCTAAAAAAAATGTTTGAGACCTATTTGGTATTTATTAAAAGCGTCTAGTTCTCGGAAGGTTGGTCGACCTTAGACATTTAGTTTTATTTCTACCACAACAATAACTACATTTTCAGTAATTGCTACGTTCCTGCTGTTCTATTCTAGATATCATCAAATGATATCGTCAGTCTGAATAAAAAGAATAGCATGTAGAGATTATTTGAAAATGTCAGATTAATTGAACAAACGGAGTTGAAGCAATTGAACTTTGTGTGCCGAAAAATAAACTGAAATTTGCTAATTTTCTAATCTCTAATACCGACTTTCTGATAAAGTTGCCATATATATATTTGTAAAAGGCCATGTTTATAAATTTCATGTACTCGGCCATAGCAGCGCACCTCGAAGTTGTAAGCCTCGCTACCTATACATCCAAAAAAGAGGCTCGAAACAGCGTGCAATGAACGGGGACTTACAGTGTCCAAATGGTCTTGCGCATGCCAGATCTCTGACGTCAAAAACAACATGCAGAATACATTCCTGTATACACGTAACACAATAAGAAGTTGAAATTGGTGATTATAAAATCCGAAAATATAAGTATGTTACATTTTCAAAATAGTACTAGTGTTTTAAAACCTTATTTATACAAAACATATATCCAAAACAGTTCAAAGTTAGGTGTATGTTACTTTTGTGCGTTTTGTCGTGTAAATAGTGAATTTCTAATGTAAAATTATAAAAAGGCAGAGAAAATATAACTGAACCTTTTGTTGAACGATTTGTATACAATTATCCTGTTCGTTAGAAAATTGTTTTCGGTATTTCGTGATTATAAGTTGTGATACCAAAGTTTTTTTGTGACATTGTGTAAAGCCGGTTTTTACAATTAAGTGTGGACGAGTGTCAAATCGTGTCACGCTGTGCTATTTCATCGAATATGGTATTCCATTCTTTACTGAACACGTATGTAATGTATATTACAAAACGATGTGAAGTACATGTCAATAATACCTCTTGATTTTAGGAAAAATGAATGATACACTCATAAAAATGTTGATCAAATTACCATGGAACATAGATATCACATTATTATTTCTATTCTTATCATATTCGATACACTGTTGGATAACCAAATTATGGCTTTGGACATTAGTCGTATTTATAAACTTATTTCAACATTGGGACAGCGATATTTCTATTAATAAAAAAATAGTTGGTAATATCGCAGTAAATTAATTCTATAAATTAGAAAGTTAAAACATTCGTCATTATATCAAAATGTAATATTTAGCTATCCATTGTGTTCGAAATTGGCCTTCTAGGGAAATACAAACACAAGAATGGTACGACTATTTCAATACACTGTTTAACCCTACTGAAAGTACAGACAGTGAGAATGATGAATTTTACGAATCAATAATAGAATATGTAAATACCATTGATATGCAAAATATAGAGGAATTCACTGATATTGACTATAGTATTTTAGATAATATGACAACTATGGAAGAGATTGATACAAGTGTTAATAGTTTATCAAATGGTAAACCATCGGGTATAGACGGTGTTCCAGCAGATTTTTTTAAAAATGCCCCGAATGCAATCCTTGATATTTTATGTAAATTGTTTAATTGACTCGGGTAAGTTTCCTGAATCTTGGTCACAAGGTATGATATTTCCGGTATATAAAAAAGGTGCTAACATTTTGCCCAATGATTACAGAAGCATAACATTGCTCTCTGCACTTGGTAAAATACTTACTAGTATTCTGTGTGATCGAATACAAACATGGTTTGAAGTCTATTGTAAAACTGCGGAAGGAAGTTCAGGAAGGGTTATAGAACCACTGACAATATTTTTATCCTGAGCACAATTATCAATAAATATTTGGCTTATTCTAAAAGTAGAATGTACTGCGCTTTTGTAGACTACAAAAAAGCGTTTGATAGGGTGAATCACTATAATTTATTTTATAAACTTGCTAAAGTCTTATACTCGATGTACAGCAATGTGACATCATGTGCTAAAACACCCCAAAGGTTAACCGAATTCTTTAAGTGCAGTTGCGGTATCCAGCAAGGGTCGGTAATATCCCCACTTTTGTTTTGCTTTTTCGTAAATAACTTTGGACACAACGTATGTTTACTCGGCAGTTTATATTGGTTCTTTGCAATTATACTTTTTATTGTACGCTGATGATTTATGTTTGTTTAGTAGTAGTGTAATTGGTCCTCAGCGGCTATTAAATAAGTTATCATGTT